AAAATAAATATATTTCTTGACTACCATTTCTCATTATGAATGCAAAGGCAGTGGCAGTACCACTTACTAAGAAAGAGCTTGGACTGCTTAGGCCTAGTTCAACTCACAGAAGTTTAAATCCAAAAGAGAAGAAGACTTGGTCCAACTCTTTCATTTATAGATAAGAAACAACTAGACGGGCTGGGGATATAGCTCAGTTGGTAGATTGCTTGCTTCACATGTACAAAGCCCCGGGTTCAATACCCAGCACCACAAAAAATAAAAAGAAAAAAGAAAGAAAAGAAAAGAACAAGTAGTCACTGGTCGGTGACTTGTCAAAAAACACGTAACTGGGCAATACCAGAGTTGAAGAATTAGAAGGTAGGTTTCCTCATTCCTGGCACTGGTCTCGTGCATATTCTCCTTCCTTATGCTGCTGTGCTCCAAAAATACAGGCTGAACATCCTTAAACCAAAATTTGAAATCCAAAAGCCTCCAAAATTCCAACACTTGAGGGCTGAGACGATGCCACAGGCAGAAAATTCCACTCCTGACCTCATGTGACATCAAAGTCAAAACATGGGTATATTAAAAATACTATTTAAAAATTTCATTCAGACTATATGTCTAAGGTATATATGAAATACAAATGAATTTTGTGTTTAGACTTGAGGCCCATCCCCAAGAAATCTCATTATATATATATACAAATATTCCAAAAATCTGAAAAAAAAAATCCTAATTACAAAACAATTCCAGTCCCAAACATTTTAAATGGGGGATACTTTACCAGCCACTGGCAGTGGAGGGGGAAGTAACAAGGATAGGGTAAAGGACAATACAATAAACAGTATAGGCAGAGCCTGCCTTACAGAGCTACAAAGTGAATGCACACCACCTGGACCTATTCCTGGTCACAACAGCCACCCTTGCATCCAACACATCACAGTCTCTAGCTTATTCCACAAGCCCAAGGGACGGAAGAGCCATAGAGTTCTGAAAGGAGAATTTTCTTGCTCCTCCACAGTAAAATCACTTTGAAAAATCAAACTAACAAAGATTCTACATTGCACCAATACTATTTAAAACAAATTGCAAAAGACCTAGATTTCAACATACCTTTTCAAATATATGTTATTCTTAAAACAATTATATCCTGGACACACCTCAAATAGCTAAAGGCTGTGCATTTTATCTCCTGGTACCAGCTTGTGGGCAACAAAAACCTAGATAAACCTTCCTATCTGCATAAGCAGCACTTGCCCATCAGGCACTTTTCTAAACCACTGAAAATCTAACTTACAAAGCAGCTCGTAAATAATATAAGTATTAAGTTAAATTCAAATACAAATAGGTTATTTAAGAAATTTCAGGGATAATAAATGTTTAGATTTGTACTGTTAGCTCTACAACTATTGAATATAAAACCCCAGAAATCTGTAGTTAAAAGAAACAGACTTGTGAAAATAAAAAAGAACAAATAAAGCTGTTTCCATCACTACTATCAGTAATATTAACAATTACAAAGGATTTTCACTTCATTTATATTACAGTGTTACATATCCATTTTATAGGTTAGGAAACTGAGGCTTACAGAGTTAAAATGTGTTGCCTGAGTTACCCCAATAAATAATCAAGGCCTCATTTTTCTACAACAGGAAGAGTTTTTAAAAGAGCATTCTGCCTAAATCATTTTTAACAATACAGCGGAATCATTTGGCATTAATTTTTTTATTATTTAAGGATAAAATAAAAAGAAAATAGCAGGGGTTTTGGTTATTTGGTTTGGGTGCTTTTGCTTGTTTGTTTTTTTGTTTTTTGGGTTTTTTTTTAGTTTTTTGCTTCTACAATTTTAATAGCAGCATCTGGAGTGTACATCTGATTCTAGACATTTCAAAAATTTGCTCCATCCTTCTCACTCTGCAATGTTTCCCTGAATATGGATTTCACTGTGAATGCTATATGTGTATGAATGTATACACAGCACAATCTTTCAAGTTATGGTAACACAATATTTACTTCCTGAGATCATCCAAGAAAAGATTATGAATTTTTTACTGAGATGATACCCTTTAGTAACTTTTAAAGACATCTGTTTCTTTCAGGTTAGATATTTCATAATATATACTTCCTCTAAATCCATTCTTCACTTCTTACTAAGATGTCCAGCTTGCCTATAATTGCAAAAGACATTCTATATTCCCATTAGACCAGGGTTTCCCAATTTACATTTGAGGCTGAATAATTCTTCATTACAGAGAAATGTCCCCTGTACTGCAGGATGTTCAGAAGTGTCCTTGGGGTATAACCACATGCCAGTGGCACACCTCTGCCCACAGTGTGACAACTAAAAATATCACAGATATTGCCAAATACCCTCCCTGGGGAGCAAAGTCACCCTAATTGAAAACCACTGTCTTACACTAGGCACTCCAATTAGGAAGTATCAATGTTTTACACTGGGCACTCCAATTAGGAAGTATCAATGTTTTACACTGGGCACTCCAATTAGGAAGTATCAATTTAGTGTATCTCCAAAGAAAAATAATATCAGTATATGAAAGTTCTACAGGATGAATTTTTCTTTTTCAAGACTTAAAAATTCAACCAAAAAAACTGAAAAATCAAACATGTAAACTTTATTTTGCTAATGTAAATAGTTTTCAAGTAAAACTATATAAAATGGTAAATTCTTTTTGAACCTTATTAACACCACAGTTCCCCAAATACCAACTATTTTATCAATTTTTAATTTTCCCATTTATTTGCCCTAAAACATTTAATACAAATTTCTTCACCTTATTTTCAAAGAACAGAAATAACCCAACACAGACATTTGCCTTTATATTTTAAGAGGAACTACAGCTATTAAGACAATATATTGAGAAATAACTGTAAAAATTCATGATTTCTCACTTTCTTTATAACAACTACAAAAATTAAAGGTAGCAAAACTTCATAGACCCAGAGATGTGGGCTGACAGCTGAGGGAATCCCTGATTGGACACTGGACACAATATGTGAAAGAAGTGATCAGGTCTATAAGTTAATACTGATGGGGGGGGGGCGCGAACAGGATGAAAAAGAGTCTCCTTTCCTAGATACTACCAAGCTTGGGGTGGGTAGGAAACAATTACATAAAATCAGGATACCTTAATTTCAGTTCTAAAAAAAGTTTAAATTCTTCAGACAGTATTCTCCTCAATGTCACAGTAAAAACATTTACAGTCAGAATCACAGAATACTGACACTGGAAAGACCCTCAGATGGTACCTTGTAAAACCTCTAATTTCAAAGAAGATTTTGTATGGAAGAATTTTAGACTCTAACCATTTTATTTCTTTGTTTAAAATTCAGGGGTAATTATAGCACAATATTATTGCTTGCTAAAACTGGTATAGAAGTTACATGGAACTATCATATTGTCTGGTATGATTCAAACTTTTCAAAATTTGAAAACATTTTTTTCCTGTAGTTTAAATTAAGATAATGAAACTAAGGCTCATGAGGTAAATGGCTTGTATATCACAGCACACAAACCAGCCTAGAACCAAGTGCTTTTTCAGATTTCAAATGTTTACAACCTACAAGAAAAAATTGGCATTACCATCCATATTATGAAGAAAACACTTGATTTCTGCAAAAGACACTGGGTATTTAATTCCTTAAATGTAACTTTCATTTTCCTTTCTTTTACATTATATTGGTGGGGGTTAAGCAAAGTATGTACTATTGAGTAAACCCCAGTGAACCAATCAAATGATGAGTAGTAACCTATGAAACAAATGGGGCTCCCATACAATTCAGAGCAGCACTCCTGGTTCTATAACAGCATTGCCTAATACGTGGTCCACATACATAACCATAAATTTTAGGAGCCAGGCTAAAAAACAAAGTAAAAAGAAACAAGGCAAACAAAATTTTAAATAATATATGTAATATAACCCCAATATATTCAGATATCATTAAAACACAAAATTGACATAAAAAATTAGTAATGAGTTGTTGCATCATTTTTCTTTTTCTCCCACTGGCTTAGAGAAATGCTCATATTCAAAACACAGTGTGTATTTTATACTTGGAGTACATCCCAATTCGCACTAACCATACTTCTAGTGCTGAACAGCAACTGGGCTAGGAGTTACCCTATTAAGATAGGGTATATTCGTTGAATAAATCAAAAGCACTTTCATCCATATGAGCAGTTTTTCGGATTTCCCCCCCAAAGCTGGCAAAATACCCAGCTCTCGTGTAGAGTAAGAACATATTTCCAACATCTCCAAAGCTTAACACATAATCTGTGTAAATGATTTTTTTGGAAATTGCACAAGCATACTACTCATTATCTACTTGTATAGACTTAATCTCCAGGATAAAACGTTGGCAATACATCCCTGGGCATGAAACCAAGCAGGCACCTAATTAATGATGTTGCTGATTATGACTTGAATCTCTCATGCTCTCCACACGAAACTGAAAGTCTTCTTCGTGTTGAAGAAAAAAATACACAGAGGGGAGAAAAATCACTCTCAGGAGCCGAAAGCATTAAGAGGAAGAGTCCCTATAGACATGCCTTGCTTCTTAATGACCTTCCCCTGCCAAACCCTCCCTCAAACCTTGCTATTCTGTAGAGAAAAAATCCAGTTCCCGCTTCCTAGAATGGTAAGGAAGATAACTGAGAAACATTTCTTTTTCTTTGGTGACAGCGTTCATGACCACGCTCATCCACCAGCAGACGCGGCTTTTTCTATACTGTGAAGCCAAAGGGGACCCCCGAAGTGGGCGGGGCAGCGACAGTAGGGACCGGAAAGGTGGGGACTCCAAAAGCGGGGACCAGCTCCAGTGCATCCCCCGGAGCCCGGGGTGGCGGCAGGCATAGGCCGCCTGCGACCCGCACCTGTCGCACCTGGGGCCCCTCCAGAGCCCTGTGAAGCGGAGTCTCGGGCAGCTTGGGACTAGGGCCCGGGCAGGGGCCGGAAGACGGGAGCCCGTGGCGTGGGCCCCCGTGCCCTCGCGCTTACCGCCCCAGATGCCCAGCTTCAGCTGGGACTTGTTCAGGTTCTCAACATAGTCCCCCAGGAAGCGGTTCAGCAGGTCCGCGACCACCGACTCAAGCACCATGGTAGGGCCGTAGCGGAGAGAGAAGGAGGAGCCAGAACCGCCAGGCGCAGCTGAGGGCGGCGACCCGCACCGCGAATGACAGCCCCTCCAGCGCCGGCCCGCCCTCCGCCGCGCGCGTGACTTCGCCCGTGCGCAGGCGCGCCGCCGCCGCCGCCGCCGACGCCGACGCCGCCGCCGCCGAAGCACGTGGGCCTGGCCGGACTCCTCTGCCACCGCCGCCAGGCACCCCCGAGCGGCGGGCGGAGGGATGTTCCACGCGGATCCTGTCCACCGTGCCCTAGCGGCCTGTATGAGAGTAGGACGTTGGAGAAGAAAAAGGAGCTCAAGGACCTGTACGTAACCGCTCTGCCTTAGCGCCCCTGCTGCCGACCTTGGGCCCCGCGGAGCCCACAGTACTGGCGAAAGCAGCTCCGCGTCGCTGGGCCCCGCGCTCCTGGGCCTGTGGTCCGCTCTGGGCGTGTCCCGGGCCACCACCCCTTCCTCCAAGCTTCAGGCGGAGTGAATCCACGAGGTCTTGTTCTGCTAGCTTCTGACTCTGCCGGCTGCAAGGCCTCCGCTTTTTTCTTCTTGAAAACACACTTTAATAATTTAAAGCCGGGGGAGGAGGGGCAAAACCGCACCAAATGGCAGATAGAAGGGAAACTGAATATGCGTGGAAATAAAGATCAAACGTAGTTCTTTTTTTTTTTTTTTTTTTCTGTAACTCTGGGTTGCATGTTGTTATATATCATTTTGGCCATGCTGTCATTGAATTGCTTATACTGTGGCAAGATATTCAAAGCGCAGCTGTTATACTGCGAGGACTTTCCACCCTGTAAAATGTAACCCCCCCCCCAAAAAAAAAACAGTTCTCCTTAAAGAACTGGAGGATTTCTGTCTTAAGTATATTTCAAAAAACTGTTGCAGTACAGCAAACAGAAACCTAAGACAAACAAAGATTACTTGTAGCCGCAAGCATTTATTAAATGCTTTGCTACAAGGTAGAGGTCATGTCTTAAAGACTTTGTATTGCTTTTGAACATCCTAGGCTCGTATAGGACCTAAAAGAAAAATAATTTCTCTGAAGTCCATTAGAGGTGAAAGAAAGAAAAAACGGCTACAAAGAACCATAGTACTAGCCAGTACTATGAGCATCTCCCTCTATCTTCCACTTTGACAAAAAGCAAAACCTTCACCATTTGTTTTTCTTTGCTGACACACAGACAAAATACTAGAAGGCACTTTGGACTTCCATCTTTCATGTACAATCTATTAACAGCCTGTCTATTGTGCTTTTGCCATATTTTCTAAATTCTTGTATTCCCCATGAGCTGTACAGTTAACCTACTAAATGGCCTCCAGTTTTGCCTTTCTCCAGTCTTTTCTGACTGAATTTCTCCATCACAGGTAAACTCAAATTAGTCACCTACTCAAAAATCTCCAATAAAGTGTTTAGGACACACTATTCAATCTATCCCCAAATTCTTTCTAATCATACTCCCTAATAATCCCTCCCCCCTTGTACATTCACATTTACTGTACACTGAGGCAAATGTAAAGAAAAATATACTCTTGTTCAGATAAGGCGTGTACCATAAAAAAGAAACCAATGCAAGGATGTATGAACAACAGTGAAAGACAATATGAAAGCCAGCACAGGCAGCATGGCATGGTCAAGGAAGTGAAAAAGAAAACATAATCTTGTGGGAGAAGTGAGCAATGCTAATGCCTTTTATATTAATCCCTTACACTTCTATATTACTTCACAGTTTTGAGAGAATAACATATAAGTGTGCTCTTATATGCTTCATTCCATTTCACTATGTTTTTAGTTAAAACTTTTATATTATTAGGGCAAGGTGGGCATTGTTCCCATTATGAACAAAAATTAAGCTCAGGAATGTTAAATGAGTTACCCAAAATACACAGCAAGTATTGATTTCCTTACCTTCCCTAAAGCACTGCCACCCTTCCCTCTGTCAATAATTATTCAGTTTAATCATTACCAGGCTATTAGTAATTCTCAGAGATTTTGAAGGCAAAAGGCAGAGTAAAAATTCTCAAGGTGGAATAGTCAGCTCAAAAATTTTAGTACAAATATATGTTATTATCAAATAGTACAAACAAACTTTACCATATAGCTTTTAAATTTTAACATTTTCCATTTTGGGCTTGTTTTTGATAAATTTGTATATGCCTGCAGAAATCACCAATTTATGGTCCCAATTTAAAACAAAACTAATGTCAAAAAACACCCCCAGCACCCTAACATACCCAAAAGAAATTTGATGCAGAGGCTAACTGAAGAAAATGAACATTCTAGTAATTATAGTTCTCACCTTCATTCTAACTTAAGAACAATGAGAAGGGGCTGGAGGTGTGGCACTATGTAGAGCACTTATCTGGCATGCATGAGGCCCTGGGTTCAGTCCCCACCACTGCAAAAAAAAAAAATGTGAAGGACAACAAAAAGGTAATTACTGCAGTGAGGAATGAACAGCGAAAGCAGATTAGTAAAATATTATTTCTGTTTTTAAAAAGTCAAAAGTAAGGGATGGTTTAAAAGTTAACTCTTAAAATATTGTTAAAAGAAATATTAACTTCTTACTAATCCACCCCATTCCCCAACCAACTCCATGGGTTTCAGAGGGAAAAAGGGGAATTTAGGAACTAAAGGAAATACTGGAGAAAGCTAGAGTACAAGACATGAGAGCATGGACTATATGAAAACTTAGGAAGGAACCGGGCATGGTGGTACCCACCTGTAATACCAGCTACTACAGGCTGAGGTAGGAGGAGGATTGCAAGTATAAGGTTAGCCTGGGCAATTTAGCAAGACCTCCTTTCAAGAAATAAAGAGGGCTGGGTATGTAGCTCAGTGATAGAGCACCCCTGGGTTCAATCCCCAGTACTGCCAAAAAAAAGAAAGAAAAGAACAACAATAAGGAGCAGGCCAGGAGTGTGTAGGAGAGGAAGGAGGAGAAGAAAAAGAAAAACAAAACTTAGAAACTAGGAGAAAGCACAAGAGTGGGTAACATAGTATGTGCACCAGAGGGAAATTTAAGGATCATCTGGTTAATCCACCCCCTTTATTGGACAAGTAGAAGCACTGAGTGCCAGGAAAACCCCCGTGTCTTGACTCCTAAGGTGTTTGTTCCAGGGCTCCAAGTTCTATATTCTATTGGGTTGGATGAGATTTATGAGTTAAAACACCAGTTATTTTATTAATTGTAAACTCCCTTCTTGTTTTCCTTAACACCCAATCTGTGTACTCTTTTTGTAAGTCTGCTTTTTTATTCTAATTTTGATTGACACATAGTAAGTGTACATTTTAATGAGGTACAAAGTGATGTTTTGATTAATACATACATTGAGAAATGATGTAATCAGGGTAATTAGCACATCCACCACCTTAAACTTTTTTTTATCAGTTTTCTTTTGTATGGTGAGTATATTCAAAGTCCTCCTCCTAGCCATTTTGAGATATGCAACGCATTAATTAGTGTTAGTTATCAGTCTTCTGTGCCATAGAACACTACAACTTGTGCTTCCTTTCTTACATTTTACTCATTCACCAATCTCTCCTAATCTCCCCCTTCCCATTAAGTCTGCTTTTAAATGTTTAGTTTTCTTTTACTCTGAAGAACCACTAGCCTCAATGATGTGTAATCTATTTATGTTCACTTCACAGAATTGTTTTTCATCTCCATTACTGGATGTTCCTATGGCTACACCTGTAAGCTCAGAACAACCACAGTCTTCCTCTGAGTAGATTTGTGTGTTCCAGGCACTTGGCCTGACCTTATTACACCATCCTCCCGAGTACTGGTAGCTTCATGCTGTTAAGTGAAACATAAGGCTTAATGTGGTCAAAGAGGACCAGGAACATGAGGGCACATCTCTGCTGTTTTCAGGAAATGTTGTACAGGAAATGCTTACTTAAGGAATAAGTGAAGAAGGTGAATTGTTAAAAAAAAAAAATGCAAATCTTCTTTGCTTGGCTGGGCAGAGAAATGTTTTTAATGGAATCTTTGTGTGAATCAGCTAATCCCTGGCTAAGCAAATGTGTATAATAATAATATTATAAATAGCAGCTGTTAGCCAGTACTTGCTACCCATCAAGCATTTTCATACCTTTTGAGCCCTCATAACAGTCTTATGTGTATATATTACTACTCCATTTTATAACTTGGACTCAAACAGATTATGAACTTGATTAACAATTTATCCAACTCAGACGGTAAACTATGATTTGTGTTCATCATTTTAATCAAAGACACTGTGCTCTTACAGAACTAACAGTATTTTGTCTCTTGAGGAAAGTTGAGTCAGAACACATACACATGGCCTTGAAGCATATAATTTGATAAATCTCCCACGGATTTTTCCCTGACCCAAGAATTTTGACCAGGAATAGAAGTGATATCAAGACAAAGAAGTAGTTAGCCAATGGCATGAAAAACCCAGGGACCTTCCAATTTTGCCTCCCAGATTAAATATATAATGTTCAATAGTCTCTTCTCATATCTGCCTTAGCTATTTGGAATTCAAGTATTTTATCTTCATCATTTCACTCCTCTTCTGATGAATGTACATAACTGATATGATCTGGTGCAGCCTGGATCCACCTGCCCAGTTTGGTGGCTAGAACCCAGGGTGCATTCAATAAATACTGCTTTTAATGAATGAATGAACTAATGAACATTTTTTTCTACAATAATAAGTATATCTGACATTGTGAAGGACAGGCTTTATGTCAAACCCTTCATATGCATTATTTCATGTTTGTGACAAGGCTACAGGTAAATGTTTGACGCTTGAGCTTAGGTTAAGTAACCCGCTCATAGTGACCTATCATTCTGGAATCAAAATCAGATATGGTTTCAGACCCAATTTTCTTGGCCGCTATACAATGTTCCCGCTGTCTTCATCATTAATAATCTCTGCTTTTATGCATTTAGCAGTTTGTCATGTTCCTGGCATGGTGCATAGTACTTTTTATTATTGTATGAATTTAACCTCCAAAATAATGCATTTACTATCCATTAGTAGGTATTATTTATTTCTTCCATCTCCCACCACTTTGTGACCATAGACAAATTATTTTGTCTCTGAAACTCAGTTTTTCATCTATAAAACAAGGATGATCAGAAGTTACAGGGTTTCTATGACAATTCTATGTAAATTATCTAGTACAGTGCTTGTATGTGCTGGAAACAAAATACACATGCCCTACCCTAAGTCCCCTTTGCATGAATTCAGTTTACTTCATACAATACTATTTTGAGAAAAAATTTGCAAGGCAGTATCTTAGAAATATTATACAGCCAGACCCTAAACAAAGTGCCTCAGATCTCTTTCAGCCCAAGCTATCTGCTCTCTTACAGAATAGGCACAAGTTAAAGGATGATTCCAATGGTCCATATATTTGGCAGTATATTTTTCTAATCCAAGATCAACACACATGGTTTAAGAAATAGGTTTTGGTTTTTCAAAATTGAAGTATTATATTATACAGTAAAGTGTCTAATCTCAAGTATACACTAGAAGATTACACAAGGATACACCCCTGTAACCCCACCCAGGTCAAGATATGGAATGTTTCCATATCTTCCCCCTAAAATCAGAGTGATTTAAAATCAACAAAGATCATCTAAAACCAGAACTGAAAACCGAAAAACAAATAAAGAACTTAGAAACCTGGGCAACGGGATGGTTGGATTTGGAAAAGGGTATTAGGTAAGAGTAAGACAAACCCCACGTTGGTCTTCTTTTGAAAAGTGGATGTAGGGAGCTTCTATGCATTCACGTTCATTTTGTCCATTGAGCCTCACAATAATTCTGCGATATAGTCAAGACTTAATCCTTTTGAGCATCGTGAGAAAACGAACTTGTTCAGGGTTGCCGAGAATACCGTCACCCCAAGCAGAAGAAAGAACTGACTCCAGAATATGCTTAGCAAATCCAAGCCACGTGGCAGAGGGACGGAAGAGCCTGGCATCAGGTTACCAGGCAGCTTCGCTCCACCGCGGGTATAAAGGCTCAGACCAGCTGTCCTTGAACACGGGTGCTGAACTCCGCCGCGGGAGCTTTGAATTTCTCTGAGGCTACCTGACTCTCCGAGTGGGTGCCCCAGGCAGAACCTTGCAGGAACCATCTGACCCTGAACTCCAGGTACATGAGGGGGACCCAGCGGCGTGCTTAATTCCACTCGGGGGCGGGGAAGCGGTTTCCTGAGGATTTGGGCTTTTAAAAGAGGAGAACAGACTACAGTTTCCTGAAGGGGATAAAAACTATATTAATTATAGCTGATGATTGGAGTGCAATAGTTCCTTAAGGATTCAGGAAACGAATGTACAGAGCAAAGCACCTCTTGGCACCAAGGACGGAGCGACCAAAGTTAGAAGCTAACATTTTTGAGAATTTCTGTCTTGCGTTAGGCAAGAGCAGAGGAAGAATAAAGCAACAAGCTCCTTAAGTGTATTTGACAACGGATTTGAGATGGGACAGGGAAAATAATTGTTTTTCAATCAATCACTGAAAAATAGTTTGCATTAGGGAGAGAGATGCAATTTGTCTTGTGTGGCGATAGGCTGGGCAAAACACCCTTTAGTAGAAAAACCGCGACAGAAATTGCGGCACTCTGCGGGGCTCGCTGTCAATTGACGTGCATTTGTGCGTTGCAGGTTATCTCTAGCACCGGGTCAAGGGGATAGGCACCTGCCACCAGATGTGGTGTCTGGAGAGGCTACTGCGCAGCAGGGAGGGGCTTCTCCTGAGTAGGGCCCGGCGTTCCAGGGCCCGCTCGCCCACCGCGTGTGCCAACGTGCTCACTCCCGACCGTATCCCGGAGTTCTGCATCCCACCGCGACTTGCGCCCAACCTGGCCTTGGCTACACTCCGGAATTCTTGGGGTGAAGATACAGCGATTGACGACGGCGCTGGCCTCACGGACTGGGACCCGCGCTCACAGGCCGCGCTCTCGCTGCCTCACTTGCCCCGCGCGCTCACCGCCTACGGCTTCTGCACGCTACTGGAGAGCCCGCACACGCGCCGCAAGGAGTCGCTCTTTCTCGGGGATCTCGGAGCCGCGGAGCTCCAGCGGCAGCCCGCCGCCCAGCCAGTGCCCCGACCCCGGGTGCACACCTACGGCCGCGACGAAGGAAGAGACGTCCCCGGCTTGCTCCTGCGAGCCCAGAACGCAGCTCCCGCCGCGGCACCTGTCTGTCCTTGTCCGCCCCGGGACGCTATCTGCCCGAGGCCCTGCGGTCGCCGCCTCCTGCGAGCACCCAACATGCTGCTGAGCCGTGCGTTACAGGTTCGGAGGAGTCGCGGCTTGGCTCGCGCCCGCTCAGTCTCCAACCGGAACGAAGACGAGGAGGGCGGCGCCACCTCTCAGTCCACAGCTCTGGCCCCCGTGTGCCAGTCGCCGGCTCCGGGCCCACGGCCCAAGCTCCTAGAGGCCGAGGGCAATGTAGCTCTGGACTGCGCTGGCTGTGTCCTGCGCCTGGCAGCCGAGTACTGCCTGGATAGTGGGCGCCTCCGCATCAGGCTGCTGCGTGCCGAGGGCCTGGCGGGAGGTACCCCCGAGCCACGTGCGGTTGGTTGCCGCATCAGCCTAATCCTGCAGCCGCTGGGCGCCACGGCGCTCAAGCAGAGCAGCTCGGTGCTGCGACGGAGCCGCAAGTTCTCCATAGACCAGGACTTCTGCTTTGAAGGGCTCACGGAAGACCAGGTGCGCAGCCTGACAGTGCGCGTCAAGGCAGAGAACAAGGGCCGCGGCCTGCAGCGGAGCCGCTTGCTTGGCCAGGGCGAGCTGCTGCTGGGCTCCCTCCTGCTCTTCTGAGCCCCTCCCTCGTGCGAGTTTGTCATGTTGGGGACTCTTGGACACTGACAGCAGCTTTGTACAAAATAAATGTGTATCTGTTTTTCTAATTAGGCCTTCGTTTCAGTCCACTATTGTCAGAGATGATATCGGATTGACTTTCACAGTAAAGGAAGTTTTTTTTTTTTTTTTTTTTTTTGGTGTAGTTTGATGTCTTGATAATTCTTTTCACCAAATGGAATGATGTTCTTCACTTTCCCAGTGATATACCCCAATTGCATCTCCTAAATATCACACACTTCTGTTGGGAAGTGCAGTGTTAGGTTTTTCTCATTTTAAAATTTGTTCATTGCACTACATCCATTGAGACCATCTTATGGATGTAGTGAAATGAGCAAATTTAGTAAACAGTTCTAAAGCACTGTTTAAAACTCTGGATATGAAAATGAGGCCAAGAAAGATAAAATGGTGTTTCCATGGTTAACAGTGAATTACCTGGAACACCAATCTGATACACTTAACTACCCAGCTTGCTGGAGAAAATGAAACCATTTTAATATTCTAAGTTTAAGTAATAATCATAATAGTTTTACAAGCATTAACTTACTTAATTCCTGAAGGAAAAAAAAAACTCTAAATAGTAGGTACTGCTATCCCCGTTTTACAGATGAGGATATTAAGGCATAGAATGAAGAACAGAGTCAGGGTTTGAAGTTAGACTTTCAGTATCTCACCCATTACTCTCATATAAGTAACACCATAGTAACTAAAGTGCTGATCTCGTTAAAGAGGGGATTCAGCAACCTCTCTAAGATTGTTGACTCTGAGGTTGGTGTCTCCTCACATTCCTCATCCTCTTCTGGAAAAGTAAATTAGTTGAAATGGGTCATGAATTAACTCATGCATTAAACATTAAGCACTGAGATGGGCTGCTATGCCTGAGGCTTTGAAGAGAATTGGACTCATAACCACAAAAACTGGTGCCTCTCTTACTGGCTGGCACCAGCTGAACTAATCTGCCAGAACAAACAGTCTGGAGTGGATGTATAACAGTGTTCTACCTCTGGCTTCTGATAATAATAGATTTACTATGTTTTAAAGGATGCTTTATTCTTCATACTTCATATTCATCAAGTATATTTATTCCTCTCTAATGCATATAAGAGGAAAATGTATTCTAAATGAGAGTTGAAAACATTAAAATATGTGGTGTGGTGTTAACTATCACTACATTATCATTCTGGATTCAGAAATGGTTTCTGTTTTTGTCAAATTTATTGACAGTTTTAACCACCAGTGCTCATGAAAAATGCTAAAAAGATCCTCAGTTTCAATCACAACTCAAGTATAAACCAAAGGTGAATTATGGTGATAGTTATTTACAAGATGATTATTGAACCATCATGTATAACTGTGAATTCATTGACTCTATCAAACTCAATCACATCCAGAAGCTTGCAGTCATTGGCCAAATGAGTGATGACATCCTAGTAGTTCACATCTAATTTGTGCTCTTTTACCTACTCAAAGCCACTATTTACTTGACCTTTAGGCCAATAGTTAATTTTTAAATGTATAATTTTCTTCATGACTTTAGAATTTGGATAGGGTAACTAATACTGAGATCACATATATCATGCTCTAAAACCATTTATCTATGTGTAAGTTGTGGGGTTCTCTTTATCTTTTTGTTAATTTTTTTTAAAAGATTGAATTGATTATTTAAATAGCAAACCATTATTCTAGAAAATGGTACAATCACTATTGTCACTAGATGATACATATATATGTCATTTTATGAAGCAGATTTCTCCAAGTAGGTGAATCAACACATTTCATGAATCTAAAATTTCCATAAAACAATAGTGGTGATTTCCAAACCGAATCGCCATTAATGCCAAGTTATGTCAGGTCAAATTGTCCAATCCAAAATATTTTTAAAAGATTGAAGTAGAATAATAGATCATAAAATCATGGAATTTCAGAGTTGAAAATAGCGTTAAGAATAATTTTGTGCAAATATATAATAAAAGTATATCAAGATGGCATATTTTTTATTTTGCCCCAAGTCACACAATAACTAAAAGAGCTGGAACCAGAACCAATTCTAGTCTCATTGTTTTTAAAATCATTGGATATGGACCACGACTTCCAAGAAAAGAGAAGCATTTGTGGATAATTTTTTTCCATAAGTGAATTAATTTGAATTGTTTTTATTTAAGAAATCTTATTTATAACACCAATGTTTTATAAGAACACCAACCTTTCTGGGGGCAAATTTGGTTTACACTTGCTGCCCTCTAGTGGAACCCTCACGAATTTTGTCAGTGGCTCTATGGCCTTAGAGCATCTCAACTGAGAAGAGAAGGTGTGGAAAAACAGATTTTAAAAAATAAGAGAAAAACTTTCCTACTATACCCAGGGCATTTGTTCCAGAAGCCCACAGACACCAAAATCCATAGATGCTTAAGTTCACCCCAAATACATTGTCGTCTGTAGATCTTATAATACTTAACAAATTGTAAATGATGTATAAATAGTTACTATATTGTAATGTTTAGGTAATAGTGGTGAGGAAAAACGTATGTACCTGTTTAGCACAGACATAATTTTTAAAAAGTACTTTCAATCACAGTGGGCTGAATGTGAAACCCACAGATAGGGAGGACCAACTATTATAATAAAGCTGGGAATGTGTGCCAATGGCATGTTGGTTCCTGAAGACTGTTTTAAGAGTTCTCTTGTTTCTCATTAGGCTTTAGTACCCATATCTCCACAAATGATATGGCATAATCTTCCCTCTTTGTAGTTTAAATGTCAGAATATATTTAAAGAAAACCCCTACATAACAACTAGGGGATATGTCAATTGAAATAGCATTAGTTAAGTAAAAAAAATAAAATAAAATCACTGCGTTGTCACTTGGTTTCACAAAGACAACACATTCTACACATAAAATATTAGTTTCAGTATGACTGAAACATTCCTAGAAGATTATTTCTTTGGACCTAATTTTCTTATGTGGACAATTTCACAAACATTCACCACAAGATACTATTTTTGGTTAAAGATATTTGGTAAACAAAGCAAAAAGTGGATACTATGTGATCCCTATGATCTTGCTTTAGCACAAGAAAAATAAGTGGATAAAAAGCCATTCAAAAGCTTCCTTTACAACATGCATTGTGGACCAACACTGCTTGAGATTCAAGATTCTATATATAAATATCCCTGCTCTTTTGGTATTAAGTTTTGAAGGCAAAAGAGAAAGCAGACAATAAGCAACTGAGTAATTTTTCAGAAATAAAATGAAAAAAAAATGTAGCTAGGGTGAGGGGGCACCTTAGACTGGGAGGGAAGACAGGCCTGCATGAAGATTGCACACTAAGCCTCTTCTCCAGGTTCATTTACATTTTGCTGTTATATTTCAATCCAGTGTGCTGATCCAGGGTCCTCCCAGGGTCACCTGATAAGTGTTTTCCTAGGAAGGCTTTTAGTAACTTAGCACTAATGGAAAGTACTCCCTGTTGTGGGTTTTGGCCTTGGTATATTAGATGCTCTTCTGCCTCCATACTTGTGAGTTCAACAGATATAAACCCAAGGCATCCTCTGGTATTTATAAACCCAGTTTTTGTCATTTTGTACATTGCCGCAGTCCGGCTGCAGCAAAATAACGGGGGGGGGGGGGGGGGGGGGGTGACGAACAACTTGTGTACGTTGATACAGCAGGAGAGGGAGCTGTTTATTACAGGACAGGAGCAGCATTTATACATTCCACACAGCTTATCTAATTAGCATAAACTAGATACATCAGTCAACCAATCAGGAATCTCCACACTTAATGGCTCGCTTTTGTTACTTCTCAAACCACTCCCTCTGGCATTTTTCCAGGCACCATCCAGACTTGTTTAGGAACTCTAACATTCCCCTGGCAAAATGCCAGGTGTTATTTTGACTTGTTTACAGACTCTAACAGTGCATGAGCATAGCAATGTCTTTATTATCCTTCTGAGGCGTTAGTGGGCAAATAACATTATAATATTTTCTTTTCTTTTTTCATTTGAATTTTATGGGTTTGATAGCAAACTTTCATTCTTTATAGCTTCTTTTTTTTAAGCAGTTAAGAGATTTTATTAGCAAACAATAAGCTATAAGGGTACAATGTGGACACAACAAAGACATCTGCCCCCAGACTCAGAAGGGGTCTGAGTTTATATGCACTCTGAGTCCTTTGTCCAGGAGTAGTTCACACTAAGCAAGGAATGATTGACAGATTCCTGTGTCTTGCCCATTATGCTTATTGCACATGTACCAAATACTTGTTCCCAGGTTTTATTTTATTTTTTTATTTTTAATTTGTTATATATATATATATATATATATATATATATATATATATATGACAACCGAATGCATTAAAATTCATATTACATAGAGTACAACTTTTCATATCTCTAATTGTACATAAGGTGGAGTCACATCCTTCATGTCTTCATACAGGTACTTAGGGTAATGATGACCATCGCATTGTACTGTCTCCCCTACCCCTATGCCTCCTCCCTTCCGCTCCCTCCACTTTTCCCCTTTGCCCTATCTAGAGTTCATTTAATCCTCCCATTCCACCACCCCCCACTGCAGCATATTATAGATCAGCATCCTTAAATCAGAGAAATTATTCAGCATTTGGTTTTTTGGAATTGGCTTACTTCACTTAACATTATATTCTCCAGCTCTATCAATTTACCTGCAAATACCATGATTTTATTCTCTTTTAATGTTGAATAATATTCTATTGTGTATATATATATATATATATATATATATATATATACACACATACCACATTTTCTTTATTCATTCATCTACTAAAGGACATCTTGGTTGGTTCCACAATTTAGCTATTGTGAATTGTGCTGCTATAAACATTGATATGGCTATGTCTCTGTAGTATGCTGTTTTTAAGTCCTTTGGTTATAAATGGAGGAGAGGGATAGCTGGGTCAAATGGTGGTTCTATTCCAAGTTTTCCAAGGATTTCCATACTGCTTTCCATATTGGCTGCACCAATCTGCAGTCCCACCAGCAATTTATGAGTGTGCCTTTTCCCCCATATTCTCGCCAACACTTATTGTTGTTTGTATTCTTGATAGCTGCCATTCTGACTGGAGTGAGATGAAATCTTAGAGTAGTTTTGATTTGCATTTCTCTAATTTCTAGAGATGTTGAACATTTTTTCATATGTTGTCGAATGATTGTATATCTTCTGAGAAGTGTCTGTTCAGTTCCTTGGCCCATTTATTGAATGGGTCTTTTGTTTTATTGGTGTTAAGATTTTTGAGTTCTTTATATATACTAGAGATTAGTGCTCTATCTGACATGTGTGTGGTGAGAATTTTTTCCCAATTAATAGAATCTCTAATTTCTCACTGATTGTTTCTTTTGCTGAGAAGAAGCTTTTTAGTTTGAATCCATCCCATTTATTGATTCTTGATTTTAATTCTTGCACTGCAGAATTAAGATCAAGAATCTCCTTTATAGCTTCTTAACTACCATCTAGCTAGTTAATATCATTGTACCTGGGACAGATGTTGTAGCTTGGCTCCTTCAACCCCCAGTCCAAGCAGTCAACACCCAAGAAGTTTGCTGATGATGTCTTTTCAACCTCTTCCTCTTTCTATTGAAATATACAAGTTGCTTATACTTTGAACAGGGGACTGGATGTAGAAGCAAATGAAGATTTGAGTTCTATTGGAATTGAATGGTTGTACTTTGCATGTGAGAAAGACAGGAATTTGAGGGTGTGGGGATGGAATAAAATGGACTAAATGTGTCCACCCCCAAACTTACATGTCAAAATTCAGTCCTAAGATGATGATATTGGGAGGTGGGCCTTTGGGAGGTAATTAGGCAGAGCTCTCGCAAAAAGAATTAGCACCCTGTGAAAGATACCCTGAGGGATCCCTCACTCCATCCTTTCGAGTTCCTGGTGACTTATACACTCAACCCTGCCCACCCAGGGACTCCACTTATCCCGTTGCACATGACTAAAACACTCAGGGGTCACTCCAGGGGAACTGGGGTGTATGAAATAACCACACAAGAGACAGAAATACCTTGTCTTTGGAGGTGCTGTGACCTCTCCTCTGACTTTAAGGGTCTGAAGAGAGAGAGAGAGAGTGAGCCCATGCTGACCCCTTTTATTGAGGAGAAGCCATTCAAATGAGGCAAGGGGTTAGGTTTCAAGGGGCTGAGTCTAGCTTCATGATGTCTGTTGTCTGCAGGTTGACTGACATCTAGGAAGGCCATACCCAAGGGCACAGTAAGAGAAGGGGACACACAAAGGGCGTTTCCATGGAACATTCTATCCCGAAAAGGGCAAGGGGTTATATCACAAAGGATCAGGTAAGCGTAGCTCAACCCATGGGGATGTAGGAAGGCATGCCCATACACGAAGACACATTTGAATTTTCTCTACTCTCAAGATCGGGGCTAATGTCTTCGGTTACTTAAAAGCAACCAGATCACAGGGTGACGGGACAGTGCCCCAGCCAACCATGAGAGGAAGCAAACGCTGGTCACATGCTATGTCAGCCTTCCACACCCTCCAACACGTGACTTTACAGTGAGAAGAGCACTGACTGGGAGGCACTGGGCCCTCACCAGACACTGGATCTACCAGGACCTTGAATTTGGACTTTCCAGTCTCCCAACCTGTTAAGAAATAAATATTGGTTGTTTAGGAGCCATCTATTGCCTGCTGGAAGATACAAGTTGCTGGAGAAATGTCAGTCATTAGGAAGGAAGGAGAGGGATTTTGATTCCTCAGTAATATCCTCTATGCCAGCTCTGGACAGCCTGTACCCCAAATTCATGTCAGTGAGATAAATGCATCCTTTACTTGTGTTCAGATATACATGAACACAATCCTAACTGATGCAATGTCCATTTTACAGAGTACACTTAGATTCAGAAAAACTTGCCTTAGATCACACGGTAAATGAACCATGAATTTAATTGCAAACCTCTTCAACTTCAATGTTCACT